CTCTCTCTCTCTCTCCACCAATTTCGAAAACTTTGGAGAACTGTGCTTCTCAAGTATGTTTCTTGAAATCTATGAAGTCAAACAGAAGTTTAAGACTGTCAAACAGTCTTTCACCTACTTGTTGATTTCAGCAGAGTCATTCCCTGTATGCTAGATGATATATCATAGTGATGGCAGCTTTATGTTAGTGTGTGGTGGGTCATAGCAAAAAGGAAAAGACTAACATTTTTATTGAGAATTCTTGTGAGGTGGGGTAAGGAGTAACAGTTACCAGGAACTATCTGCTTACCACTAGCTAGACACTGTGCTAGGTAAATACATTACTTTTAAACTTTCCTGTAAGAGAGACACTGTTATCTCTGTTTTATACTCAAGGAACTTGACATCTAGAAAATTTTCCCCCAAAAGTAATTAATTGAATGACTTTGTCAACAAACACATGAAAGTTGTCATAGAAATTTGTCTACAGGTGTGTTTCATCTGTCACATATCTAGTAAGTCACATATCTAGTAAGAAGAACCAAAATTAATTTTCTGATCTCTTAGGATCTTTCTGTCCTATATTAAGCTCTTTGAGAACAGAAACTGTGGCTTATTTACTGTTATCTTTTTTAGCTGCATAATGTTACTTAGTAGGTATTTCAGATGGTTGAATAATAAGTTACTATACTGTTTAGTTCAACTGATTTTTAAAAAGATTTATTTATTTATGCATACAAGAGATGGGGTGTAGGCCAGAAATCTGGGGGAGGGGGAGTGAGAGATCTGCCACACCATGTGGGTCACCTCCCTGGCTGGGGATCAAACTCGTGCTGCAGAGGCTACAGATAGCTTCATTGTACTGGGCTTTAACTAGTTGTGCCACATGGGAGGGCTCGGACGTAGAAATAATTTTAAAGTAGAATTCACTGCCTTTTAGATGCAATGTCAATGACAGATTCCTACTTCTATTAGCAACTGTTACCATTCTAGCATGTCCTAGTTCTCAAACTCTTACCACATATGAAATAAGTAGAGGATATAGACAGATGTATTCTTCAACATATATGGAATATTTCTATCATTAAAAAATTCTTAGCTTTGCTATTCTCTCTCTGAATTTATAACCAGACAAATGAAATTTCCTTTCCACTGCTTCCATTTTCTTTAATACCACCTTCTTAACCTTTTGAAAAACTCTTGGCTTTTTCACTTTATCTGAAAATAATCTATTCATTCAATTCATTCAGAAAGACAACTTCATCTTATCTTATTTCTTGACAAATTCAATGTCCTCTTTTCAGAACCTTCCCTCTTTATTTTGTAGTCTGTGACTCTGTCGATTACTCCCTTCCTAACAGTCTCCCATTCTTTCACTCTTCCCAGCATTCTTGCTTCCCCCCCAAATCTAGCTTTCAGTCATCTGCTTCTCTTTCTAAGGGAATGATAACAGTTCATCAATGTTTATTTAGCTTTGATAATGTTTACATCAAAGCTGCTTTATATTAATAGTTGTACAATTTCCAACATGCTTTAGTTCCTCATCCCTAATTGTACACTGAAATTTTTCATTTGGGTAATCCTGCTACAAAATAATAGCATCTCAGGCGAAATATATCTAAAATTAAATGTTCTTTTATTGGAAACTGGTTCTACCTTTTCAAATTCCTCATCTCCTTTAATGGTACACTGACACTCTTTAACCAGACTGTTGGCATCATTTTTTGGGCATATTTCCTCTCCAATTTTTTTCACCTTGCTTATATTCATTTGTCCCTAATTCCTCTTATTTGTTCCTTTGAAATCACTCTCTTACTACTCCTTCCTTTCCATTGCCACTGCCATGGTAGCTTTTGCTTCATGTGCCTAATTTGGAACCTCTTGCTTTCTCTTCCTTATTTTAAATCCTATGCGGCCTTTAAGATTCAAATTAAGTTCCAACTCCTGCTGTCATCCCTCGAATGCTCAAGCCTTCATGGAGTTCCCCTTTCTTTGAATACTTAGTCACTTCTAATACTTAGTTACTTCTGCACTACACAATTCAACAGCTAATAATTTTTTTTTAAGATTTGCTTTTCCACATCAATATCTTAAACGTAATTTTCCTGTTAGCTTTGTAAAGCAAGGCCTCGACTTTCTTTCTCTGTATTCTTCATAATGCCTAGTCCAGTGTGCAAGAAATATTTGCTATATATATTGACGTCACAAGCTTTCTTCTCTAATATTAAAGGAATTATTTCTAAAATATAAAAAATATATTGAAATGGCAAGTAACGTATCATTTTACTTCTTAAAAATAATCCAGTGCACATATATTTACTTCAAAAGACATAAAAGGTAGGCAAAAATATAAAACATTCCCTCATGATTTTGGCTGAAAGGCAGTAGTAACTCTGTCCTTGCCTACCAGGGATTTCTTTCCTTACCTTCATTCATTACAGACTCAGCACAAAAAAGAATATTAACTCAAATAACTAGTAAGGCACAACATTTTACTTAACAACTAGTAGGGAAATCACTGATGAGTGATAGACATCAACCAAACTACAGTGTTCTTTGGTATTGTACAAACAGGCACTTGGGAACTGTTCACCCTGTCATTTTATTGGTCTCTATACATATAGAGCCTAATATGTGTTTCAAGCTGATCCAGCAGGTGGTTCTTAATAACTGCATTTTATTTGACAACAGTATTTAATACCCCAGATTTTAATTTTTGGGACAGTTTTATGCAGTAAAGGAAAATGAAGCAAAGAAGTATGGGCCAAGAAGCAAAGAAGTATGGGTCTTAGTTATTCTTCCCTCTTCCCCCTACATTTCTATTTTTTTTACACCTCTATTTTTAATCCTTTAGAAAATTACTATACATTAGCCTTTAAAAGTCTTGCATATGTGTTGAGGTTGTTTAAGAAAACAGACTAAACAGTGGTAAAATTATGCCAAAAAACCTATGGTTTCATTAGAAAACCATTTACTTATAGAAACAGTGATTCTGAAGAATGTGCATGAACTGTATTTACTATTCCAAGGAAAAGGAAAGTCTATGCCATACATTTAAAAGAGGTTTTTCTTTTTTTTTAAAAGAGGGAGAAAACTAAAATAGGATCATAAATGAAAGAGGAGAAATTACGACAGATATAGCAGACATCCAGAGTATAATTAGCAATTACTATGAACATTTAGATGCAAACAAGTTCAACAATCTAAATGAGATGGACAAATTCTTAGATTTATATAATCACCCAAAGCTGAAGTAGAAATAGAAAACTTAAAACCAATTATAAGCAGCAAAATTGAAACAGAAATTGAAACCTTTCCCAGAAACAAAAGCCCAGATTCAGACAGTTTCACAAACGAGTTCTACTAAAGGTTCGAAGATAAACTAATGTCTATTCAACGAAAACTCTTTCCAAAAATTAAGAAAGAAGGAGTACTACCAAATATATTTTACAAAGCCTAACATTACACTAATACCAAAACTAAAGACAGCACACAAAAAGAAAACCACAGACCAATCTTCCTAATGAACAGGTACTAAAAATCCTCAGTAAAATTGTAGCAAATGGAATTCAAGAATGCATCAAAAGGATTATACACCACGACCAAGTGGGATTCAACATCTGAAAATCAATTAACATAACTCACCACATCAACAATAAGAAAAGTAAAAACCTTATGATCATTTCAGTAGATGCTGAATGAACATTTGTTAAAGTTCAACATCCATTAATGATGAAGGCCCTTGAAAAACTTGCAATAAAAAGAAACATACCTTAACATAGTAAAGGAAACATATGACAAACCAACAACTAACATTCTCAATGGTGAAAAGATGAAAGACTTTCCAGTAAGATATGGACTAAGACAAGGATATCCACTCTCAGCAACACTTTTCACATTAGCCTTCCTACATGTAGACAGTCTGAAGGAAGAAATTAAGAAAACACATCCCATTTACCAAAAAATATTTAAATACTTTGGAATAAAACTAGCAAAGGAGATGAAAGACCTATACAGGGAAAGTGATAAAACACTGGGATTACATCAAACTATAAAGCTTCTGCACAGCAAGAGACATTAATTAAATAAAGAGATACCT